TACGTGGTTTACAGATCTAGACAAGGTACGTGGTTCACACATCTAGACACGGTACGTGGTTCACACATCTAGACAAGGTACGTGGTTTACAGATCTAGACAAGGTACGTGGTTTACAGATCTAGACAAGGTACGTGGTTCACAGATCTAGACAAGGTACGTGGTTCACACATCTAGACAAGGTACGTGGTTTACACATCTAGACAAGGTACGTGGTTCACACATCTAGACAAGGTACGTGGTTCACAGATCTGAACAAAGTACATGGTTCACGGAGCTAGATACATGGTTCACAAATCTAGACAAGGTACGTGGTTCACACAGCTGAACAAAATACTAGGTTCACAGATCTGAACAAGGTATGTGGTTCACAGATCTGAACAAGGTATGTGGTTCACAGATCTGAACAAAGTACTGTGTTCACAGATCTATACAAGGTACGTGGTTCACAGATCTAGACAAGGTACGTGGTTCACAGATCTAGACAAGGTACGTGGTTCACACATCTAGACAAGGTACGTGGTTCACACATCTAGACAAGGTACGTGGTTCACAGATCTAGACAAGGTACGTGGTTCACACATCTAGACAAGGTACGTGTAACTTCTTGAGACAGGTACCAATACTAGCTAGTGGACTCAGGGTCGTCTTACATACCACAGTCCAGGAACCGAACTCAAGCCTTTGTGTTGCCAGTCGTGCACTCTACCACTAGACGTCCATACCTCAACATACGTAGTTTGAAATGAAATGAAAAACATTAAACTTTTATTTTACTTGAAGGGAGTTGTGATAGAAAAAGTGATAGCACAAATAGTTTTAGCAGTATGAGCAACTTTTAAATTTAATTTAGCACTTGTAAAATTAAACGTTTTGGTAAGTAGACTAATCGATCGACTACACATTTTAATACAGAATTAAGTGCTCATACTTGCCCTGTACATGTGCATTTTTTGTTTATGCATTATACATACAATACAGTGGTAGAAGCAATTTATCAAGTATTAATAACAGTTAACTAATATAGTTTATTTGCCAATACTTTGATAAATGACATCATTTAATATGTCAGTTAATCACCATGGCAGGAAATTTTTCGGCCATTTTTATTTTGATGATTAACTTCTTGAGTTATAACTATATGCTAAATATGGTAGCATTAGGCTTAGAAGCATTTTGGCTGATTTGATACTGACCACACGCCCATGCCTTTCATCAAAATCGAGTAAAATAAAAACGAAAAAAAAAGTTACAAATATTTTTTATGAGCAGCTCTACTGTTACATTATTGTCACTTTGCTGTAAATAACAAGTCGTGTGTATCTTTTATTTGTCAGATGTTAACATGCTGTTATAGTTTTACTTAAAATTGTAATGTTTTGAACTGAAGTTTAATTAGGTGTTTTTTTTTTCACCCTCTCCCCAGTATGACACAATCGACATCCACCAACCAGGTATGTTTGCAGTAGGCTACAGCAGACAATGTGTGACGGACAGGACCTATGGATGCTGTCAGCTGCTTGAGATGAAAGGAGGGATACAGACATTTTTTTACACTGACAAATTTTAGCAGCTAAATCTATTAATTTTTTGAAAATGTTCTGGTTATTGAATGTACTGATGTTAAGTCATACATGATTACACATACACAATTACACGCACATAACTTATACGAACACAAAACATAAGACAGCATGAACAATTTTAGAAAAGAAATTAGTGCAGTCTACTAATTAGCGACAAACCATTTCCAGCATATTTTAATACCAACAATGACTTTTTAATGTGTCTACATTTATATTTGATACAAAATATCCGAAATAAATAATTATATTATATAAGATTTATCCTGTTTTTGTTGTTGTTTTTTCTTGTTTGTTTTTTGTGTGTATGTAGGGACGACATTATTGAGGGGTGTGTAAGCACGATATCACTAAGGAGTGTGTAAGCACGATATCACTAAGGGGTGTGTAAGCACGACATCACTAAGGGGTGTGTAAGCACGACATCACTAAGGAGTGTGTAAGCACGACATCACTAAGGGGTGTGTAAGCACGGCATCACCGAGGGGTGTGTAAGCACATCACTGAGAGTGTGTGTAAGCACGACATCACTAAGGGGTGTGTAAGCACGGCATCACCGAGGGGTGTGTAAGCACATCACTGAGAGTGTGTGTAAGCACGACATCACTGAGGGGTGTGTAAGCACGACATCACTAATGGGTGTGTAAGCACGACATCACTACGGGGTGTGTAAGCACATCACTGAGGGGTGTGTTAGCTTGTAATTACAGTGTCAAGTGCAAGACTGAAAATATATTTTTCGAATGTGGTAAAAACTTAGTTACCTCGATAAACTCAAATACCTCGATAAACACAGTTACCTCTATAAACACAGTGACCTCTATAAACATTTAACTCTGTAACACAGTTACTTGTATAAACACAGTCACCTCGATAACCTCAGTTACCTCTATAAACACAGTTACCTCTAGAAACACATTTACCTTTATGTATATACAAGACACAGAAAAACACTTAAATTAAGGAGTTTTAAAAACTGATGAGAATGCGACCACAATACCCTTTCCTAAGCCAAGAGGAGGTAAGAGTACTGGTGTATTCCACTTCGCCTGCTCCATGGGCAGTCATTTCGAAAGGGGTACTTAACTTTTTATTTAATAAAAAGGGAGTGGCAGAAATTTTTTTTTAATATAGTTACGGCAATGAATTGCAAGATTACCCGATGGTTGTTTATTGTAAAGTAAAATATTTACTTTTGTTTGCAAACACAGAGGCAAAGTTTATTATACAAATCATTGTAACATTTAATTTCTGTATTAAAAGTTGTCAAAATTACAAGGCCCAATTAACCATGTGCAGATTTTGCAGACCTCATACGCAGGAAAGTACGGTGGTCTACCAACAACTAAAGGAAATCTTTTGTCGAATCTGTCTTCATTTATATTTTATGTGAAGGTTTAAATATTGTTCCTATTATAAACATGTGTTTAGGAACAGAAAAGCAATCTGCATGTTAGGAGTCGATACATTTTGTGAATATAAAACGTGCACCGAAAATAACCCATAATGAACGTAAGCTGTAGATCAATCAATATGGTTGAGATCAAAGTGTAAACATCACGACATTCCAGAGTTTAATTTTTTTACTGCCGTAGATTTGATTTGATGCAGAGTAAGTTTTGTTTCAAAGATTTGTTTTACTCTGAGAAGCTTGAAATCTTTAGTTTTTTTCAATGTTACTTCAAGTAATGTTACCATAAGGAATATTTTAGCATAGACAACAGACCTTGATCTAGATTAGATAGATATAGAGATCTAGATCTAGATCTTGATCTAAAATCTATAACTAAATTAAATGTAGTTTATATGAAAGAAAAATGTAGATCTAGATCTAAATCTATATTCTAGATCTAAAATCTAAAACTAAATTAAGTGCAGTTTATATGAAAGAAAAATGTAGATCTAGATCTAGATCTAGAGCTAAAATCTATAACTAAATTAAGTGTAGTTTATATAAAGAAAAAAATGTAGATCTAGAGCTAAAATCTAAAATCTGTAACTAAATTCAGCGTAGTTTCTATGAAAGAAAAATGTAGATCTAGATCTAAATCTATATTCTAGATCTAAAATCTAAAACTAAATTAAGTGCAGTTTATATGAAAGAAAAATGTAGATCTAGATCTAGATCTAGAGCTAAAATCTATAACTAAATTAAGTGTAGTTTATATAAAGAAAAAAATGTAGATCTAGAGCTAAAATCTAAAATCTGTAACTAAATTCAGCGTAGTTTCTATGAAAGAAAAATGTAGATCTAGATCTAGAGCTAACATCTAAAACAAAATAAACTGTAGTTTATATGAAAGAAAGATGTAGAGCTAGATCTAGAGCTAACATCTAAAACAAAATAAACTGTAGTTTATATGAAAGAAAGATGTAGAGCTAGATCTAGAGCTAACATCTAAAACAAAATAAACTGTAGTTTATATGAAAGAAAGATGTAGAGCTAGATCTAGAGCTAACATCTAAAACAAAATAAACTGTAGTTTATATGAAAGAAAGATGTAGAGCTAGATCTAGAGCTAACATCTAAAACAAAATAAACTGTAGTTTATATGAAAGAAAGATGTAGAGCTAGATCTAGAGCTAACATCTAAAACAAAATAAACTGTAGTTTATATGAAAGAAAGATGTAGAGCTAGATCTAGAGCTAACATCTAAAACAAAATAAACTGTAGTTTATATGAAAGAAAGATGTAGAGCTAGATCTAGAGCTAACATCTAAAACAAAATAAACTGTAGTTTATATGAAAGAAAGATGTAGAGCTAGATCTAGAGCTAACATCTAAAACAAAATAAACTGTAGTTTATATGAAAGAAAGATGTAGAGCTAGATCTACCCATCGGTTAGTGTTAAGGTAACAGTAAGGGTTAAAGGTGAGGGCTGTGGTAATGGTGAGGACGTTTACGTCTATGATAGGCTTAGCAATTATTTCCTTTGAGGGAATTTAAAGCTATTTACTCTTACATGGTATGATTCCGATATTTTATTCTTGTATTTTTTAATTGTATTGTATAGGGTTGTTGCTCAATAGGAGAGGGAAAGTAAGTAACAAGAGAGTTTATGTTTAAAGATTTGACTCCGAGGGTTAGTAGGTAGTATATTCGAGTAACAAAACGGCATATTGATGAGCGGCAGTTGATGTGTCAGATAATTGTTAGAATGACCTTTAAGTGTACATGTTGCGGTTAGGAGGGGAGCTTTATGCATTGCACTTTATTTTTTCTTAAAATCTTTTGTAAACATACATATCTGCTTTAACATTTAAATCTACATATGGCTATTAAACGTCTCGATCAAAGCATTGACCATATATATATATATATATATATATATATATATATATATACATATATTTTTTTAACCTTCAATTGCAGAAAATAAGGTCAAGGTTGATTTATTTAACAGTGCACTGTAAACATGGCAATCATCGGGGAGATTGAATCAGATTCTCCAGCCATGGATGAAATTTCGACATCATCCTCGAACATGTTGGAGCCAGAAGGTGCGATCTCCCAGAATGCCGGCTCCGTTGCCGTACCTGCAGGTGCGACCTCCCAGAATGCCGGCTCCGTGGCTGTACCTGCAGGTACGACCTCCCAGAATGCCGGCTCCGTTGCCGTACCAGCAGGTTTGATAGCCCAGCAAAGCACACAAGGACTTGGCAGTTCCAACTGTTACGAGATAACGTTCGGTGGTGACGGTAAACCACAGGTCAAGCGTGTCCCTGATACGGCTCAGCTTTTCTCGACCTACTACAGCAACGATGGCTTCTTCATCTTCAACAGCGGCACAATAGGGTACTACACAACCTCTTTTTAAAAATTCTTTGATCAACTGCGTTTTTTTTTTCAAACAGAAAACTACAGCAAAAAAAAAAAAATTAAGATTCGTTTAAAAATTAAATTGAAATTTCTTTGAAAACAAAATGTATACACGATCCCAATTTTAAAATAATTATAGTATAAGTGGAAAATTTCGAAATTAATCTTGGGATTTCAAGTCATTTTTTACCCCATATTGGATTAGTAGGTCACTCTACTGGCTACAATCGTTAGGTCAATTCACGGGTGCTTTTATCATGACAAAATACAGCAGTTGAATATTAAAAGAAGTGGATTCCTAATGTAAAACAAAAACTTGTTGAAATTTATTTTAAAACATTCCAGTGTTTAAAAAATTATTTAAAATAATTTGTCCTCTGTAGGTCAATAAATGTCGGAGGTTCCAGAGTGTCATCTTTACGGATATTGGATGGTACGCGGGAGGAAAAAGTAAGAGCGTTGAGAGACGCAAGTCTGGAAGTGTTGAAGGCGTTGAAGTCGGTCAAGCAGACGAGGTCACTGATGTTGTCCATCAGAGAAGGTTTAAGGTCAAGGGTGTATGAGTCAGCCAGGCAAGCAAGGGCACGTGTAATAGACGCAACCCGACAGTCAAGGTTAGCGGAAGTGAGTGAAGAGGTGATATCAGATGAAGAGGAGGGTATGGAATCTGAAGAAGAGGAAGATAATGGAGAGGAAAATGAAGAGGAGGAAGAAGACAATGGAGAGGAAAATGAAGAGGAGGAAGAAGAGAACGGAGATCCAACTGAGGAGGAAGAGACAGGAGAAGTATCTGAAACTGCAGAAGGCTATAACACCGTCAACATCTACGGTGCTGACATCACCAGGATGCCCGTGCCGTACTTTTCGAATTATTTCCCCAGTGGTAGCACTAACACAGTGGTTGTCAACGGTGTGAATATCACCAGCAGCGCGCCCTACCAGTTGAATTATTTCCTCAATGGTAGCACTAACACAGTGGCTGTCAACGGCACCAGTAACACAGTAGTCAACAGTGCTAATATCACCAGCACCGCGCCCTACCAGTGGAATTATTTCCACACTGGTATCAGTAACACAGTAGTTGTCAACGGTACGTCAGTGACGGTCGACGGACAAACTGTCGGTCTACAGGGCAACATGAACGTCATCAATGGAGGAAGTCAAATAATCTTCAATTGAAAGTAAAATCTGTCCATGTTTTATGCCCGTCAGTCTGCCCATGTTTTATGCCCGTCAGTCTGTCCATGTTTTATGCCCGTCAGTCTGTCCATGTGTTATGCCCGTCAGTCTGTCCATGTGTTATGCCCGTCAGTCTGTCCATGTTTTATGCCCGTCAGTCTGTCCATGTGTTATGCCCGTCAGTCTGTCCATGTGTTATGCCCGTCAGTCTGCACATCCGTTCGTTCTTCTGCTATTCTGTCCGTCTATTTGTCCGTCTGTCTGTTTGTCCGTCCGTCTGTCTGTTCGTCATTTTGTCTTTTTGTTTGTTTAGCTGTCAGTCTGTCCGTCTCTTCGCCTGTCTGTATGTTAATCTGTCTGCCTGTCAACTATGGTGTTTAAGTATATACTAAACAAAACATTCAAACGGTATTAGAAAAGCACTTAAAGCATTAAAAAATATAATAACTACAATTTTAAAATGTTATTCTTATGTTCTCCTCCAAATATCCTTCATCCACTCCCAACAAATCTTCAAACAAAACCAGGCGGTGAATTCCTTCATCCACTCCCAACAACCTTCAAACAAAACACGGCGGTGAATTCCTTCATCCACTCCCAACAACCTTCAAACAAAACACGGCGGTAAATTCCTTCATCCACTCCCAACAACCTTCAAACAAAACACGGCGGTAAATTCCTTCATCCACTCCCAACAACCTTCAAACAAAACCAGGCGGTGAATTCCTTCATCCACTCCCAACAAATCTTCAAACAAAACCAGGCGGTGAATTCCTTCATCCACTCCCAACAACCTTCAAACAAAACCAGGCGGTGAATTCCTTCATCCACTCCCAACAACCTTCAAACAAAACCAGGCGGTGAATTCCTTCATCCACTCCCAACAATCTTCAAACAAAACCAGGCGGTGAATTCCTTCATCCACTCCCAACAACCTTCAAACAAAACCAGGCGGTGAATTCCTTCATCCACTCCCAACAACCTTCAAACAAAACCAGGCGGTGAATTCCTTCATCCACTCCCAACAACCTTCAAACAAAACCAGGCGGTGAATTCCTTCATCCACTCCCAACAAACCTTCAAACAAAACCAGGCGGTGAATTCCTTCATCCACTCCCAACAATCTTCAAACAAAACCAGGCGCCGAATTCACCAGAGATACTTTACTTGTATTTCAGTTTTGGTTTTCAATAAAGACAAAGCTGCAATAATGAAACAGGTGAATAAATGAGTCGCATCATGTTTACTGCGGGCCTCTAATGTGTGTGTCCTCATTCCAAGCTCGGAACTCTATACAGTCCATCATGGCCCGTGATTTTGTGTTTCCCATCATGGTCCGGCTTGTCCGGCCTTTTCCAACTAATCAGCCAACGTTACAAAATATGTTACTAATTAACTTATGAATATTTTAAAATGTAATGCATTACCTTCTATCAGTGGAGACCATTGTAGTCAGGAGCTTAAAAGGTCGACTTTCCCCAACCCCTTGCTCCCCTACTTCGCTACTCACACAAATCATGTACACACACACACACACACATTTGCACACACATTGATGTACTCTCACAACACACACACACATACTTCACACAGGCACGCGCGCACACAGGCACACTCACGCCCATATGAATAATATATATTCAAGAACACTCACATCATATATATTACTGCACACACGCAAATTTACAATACACACACACACAAAAACACACACACAAACACACACTCGGTGTTTCTATTAAGAAATAAACTCTGGTATAACTTTTAGTTAAAAAGTCTAAAATATGTGTTGAATATTTTTGTAAGAAAACAAGAAATGTACGGTAGGGATGTAATGTTAACATCACCCTGTCAAGAATGAGAAAATATTGGAAATAAAACTTTGTTTTTACATGTAATATCTATTTGAATTATACAAAATGTTCGTAAACTTATCTAGACGTTTTTTATACGCAGGAGAGAGAGAGAAAGAATGTGTGTGAGTGGCCGTGGGTGTGTGGGAAGGAGGAAGTGTGGTCGCTATTGTGATTACATTTATCAGGTTAATCCTGACTGCACGTCATTAGCTGGCGATTAAGACAGGATTTTTATTCGCTTCAAATGGACATGTCCAAATTAAAAGGCGACCTGCCAACAAGAAAGCGTGTTTGTAACTGAAGCATCCAGTCCTTTTGTTTTTTTTCTTCTACTGTTAACAATTTAATTATCTATTTAAGATATAGTGGAACAGTGTGGTCTAGCGCTAGACTCCTCACCCGAGAGTCTCGAGTTCAAATCCGTTTTCAAGTCAGTTGAACGTCCATTCGGGAGAGCAAAGACGGCTGGGCATAGTGCTGACAACGTTACCCTTTCTTTTTGCCAGGGTCAAGAAACATTTTGACTCTTCTTCATCTACCAAATGCATCGCTGCCTGAAGAGGATTCCTTATTCTTTAATTTACCTAAACTAAACTATATAAACTAAACAATATTTGAAAATCTCTGCAAAATCTGTATTATAATAACGTGTAGCATACATGATAAAGTGTTATAGACAGCAAACCCCTGGTGTACAGAAGATAAGTGTGATGATTGCAAAACACAATTGATAAAATATATGCACATTTTGTAAACACTGTAGTTTACAATACTCATGACGCAAAAAAGTTCGATTTTCAATCGGAATAGTTTTTGAATACTGTAGAGTGTTTTTGTTATGGCAACTAAATTGTTTAGGATTTTATTATAATGACATTTGCATTATTGGCATACTATTCAGGAAATGAGTAAAAACCACATTATTTGGTGGGTTTTGTTTCAAGTTCTGTTTAATATTAGAAAATATCTCATTTCTAACAGAAAATGTAATCGTTTATTAGTCAGGTACTGAACTTGTGACTTTCAGCTCAGTTAGCGCTAAACCACGTCGTCCCCTGACTCGAAAACAATACAAACATCACATACATCGAATCTTGTGAAGTTCGACAAATCACGTTTTTAAACCCATGTAACACAGCACACACAAAAAATAAATTTATGGAACCTACAAGACCTACTGTGGTATTACATATTTTGTGTCAACAGATTTACATATTCTATGTCAACAGAATATGTATGAACGCAACGTGTTTTTTTTTATAGTAGGCAATCATTTTACTGTCTTTGTTAACTTTTCTAAATTCTCATGGCTTATTCATCGAAACATAATAGGGCTGGTAAGTAAGTCACCAACCAGTTCTAGGGCTCAATAAAACCTGGATGAGCCATATAACTGTTTATTGACCTACTTACCAGCCCTATTGGGAATAACCCCCCCCCCCCCTCCCAACCACACACATACACACGCCCGTGGAGGCGCTCGATGGGAGATCACAAGTAACTCCACACGAGAAGTGACGTCCGACACTTAACGAACCATGGGAGATCACAAGTAACTCCACACGAGAAGTGACGTCCAACACTTAACGAACCATGGGAGATCACAAGTAACTCCACACGAGAAGTGACGTCCGACACTTAACGAACCATGGGAGATCACAAGTAACTCCACACGAGAAGTGACGTCCAACACTTAACGAACCATGGGAGATCACAAGTAACTCCACACGAGAAGTGACGTCCGACACTTAACGAACCATGGCCACATGGCAGTGGTAGTGTCGGAGCTGACGTCTTCAACGTACCCTAGGCTGAGTCCGACACTCAGTGTTCTGTCAAGGATGTACCGTTCTCCTTGATTTCGCGGGGGTTGTCCGTATATCATTTCTTAACTGAAGCTTGAAATCAATGAACGACCCCCAATCAGTGGGCGGTCAAATATCCTTTTATATAAGAATCCTGATCAAATCAAAGGGACCAAAATTCATCGGAGCGAATGATCAACACCAGGGGACTTATATGGATTCTCCATGCCATAGACAGACACTAAGAGCTTTGGGGTACAAAATCTCAAGTGCCCTTTTAGCGGCCGTGGCGGCCTTTGAAAATCCTTCTTGAATAAGGTAGTTCCGTCTGACCAGTTGCAGGATATGAGGCCTGCGCTGCTCACGAGAGAAAACTTATCAGGGTATTCAACTAATTCGAATCCACAGATACACGATCTTGACACTGCTACAGCAGTAAAACACAGATGATGCCTGTTCTCGCAGGCCTAGATAATACGTTCCGCTCCACTAGGCTTATAGAACAATTTACGTTCCGCTCCACTAGGCTTATAGAACACGGTCGAAGTATTTAGTCAAGGGCCCTGTAGCAGTTATCTGTGGGTGACTGGACGTCGACTTTTAAAATGTCCGCCTGACGCTTACAGCCTAGATGCCTGCTAACGACAGGTAAAACGGTTTAAAATGCCTCACAAATCTACCACTGGTAATTACTAAGGAGTTTGACAATGAGCCTTAAGTTAGGCTACACCATCTCTATAATTAAGCAAATGTAAAAGTTTAAATCGAAAACATATTAAAATTCGCGATCCTTCTAGAAAGCTTCGTCCTAGGCATATGTTTACATTTAGTTGACTTCCTGTTTTATTTTTATCCTGTGACGAAACTTTTCCTATAAATAACTTCCGGTCTCTTAGACTTTCTATTTATAGACAACAGTTTGCGTTTGTACGACATTCAATGGACTCAAAATAGAATAGTCTCAAAATTATTCGAAACGCCCATTCAATATTTAAAAAATCATGTACGATGTTATTTAAATAAATATGTTTATAAAAATCTGACTGTTCGATTTTTGTTGGGCTTTACTGAAGATTGGATGCAACCTAAGTTTTTATTATTAATTTCTTTTTTAAAGAAAGCTAAAAGCAATTTAAATTTAATTGTTTACATTTATCACAGAAATTGAGAAAAAGGCTAAACAAGATACTTTGGTTTAAATATAATGATTTTAAAAAAATGTATCGGCAAATTTTTGAGTACAAATAACTGAGTTCTGTATGGTCAAAGGACATCAGTGAACGTGAATTTTTGAAACCCAACTCACGGGGTTGGTCTGACTAATGTCAGCCTGACACGGGTTGGTCTGATGTCAGCCTGGCACGGTTGGTCTGATGTCAAACTGACACTGACGGGTTGGTCTGACTGATGTCAGCCTGACAAGGGTTGGTCTGACTAATGTCAGCCTGACACGGGTTGGTCTGATGTCAGCCTGGCACGGGTTGGTCTGATGTCAGCCTGACACTGACGGGTTGGTCTGACTGTTGGGTTTGCTATCAAACCGCCCCGCCATATTCGTTACAGCCCTGCCCACATTCCCACCTATTGTGATATGTTCATCAAACGTCCGGATGCGTCACATTATTCAATGGCACCAATGTCTATATTTCAAACAAATAATAGCAAGACACAAATGTAACGTTTTATTAGGCATTCATTTACCTAGCGCCCTGTGATCTATTGCAACTAAATTATGGTAAAGGGCATGTTACAGCAAATTTAACTTATTTGGATGCTTAATTAATTTCTAAATAATTAATTACGCTTTCTAATTTAGGGTATTTTTTCCCCAATATAATAGCCTACGTTTTTAGTAATACATTTATATATAATAAAAAAATTTAAAGTATCGAAATTTTTAAATTTAAAAAACATAAAACTGTTTTAATAACACGCTTTCAGATAACAATGCACTGAAAGGTAGAAAATAAATGATTTTGTTTAAATAGCTATAAAAAAGCGAATACCTTTACGAAAATTTAGAATGCGACCCACACGTTTCTTTATAATTATTTTAAAAGTAGTCCATTATTATATTATTTAGAAAATCATTTACTTCCTACTTTTTAGTGCATAAAATCTTGTTATTTTTTGTTAATTTTTTCAGACAGGACTACATTAATTTTGCAGTTCTCTATACGATTAATAAAGAACTGCAAAATTAATGTAGTCCTGTCTGAAAAAATAAAAAATAAACCGGGAGTGAACTCCCCTAAACTTTCTCGAACATTCTTGTATAAAACAACTGGGGATGGGAACTCGGGATATAGTTATAATTTTTAATCCATTTTAAATACTTAAACTTTTTAAAATAGAATAAAATCTCATAGAAAAAAGAATTGCGCACCAAGCGAACGCCGAGTAATTTACAGTGTTTCTTCCAGACTTTTATCTCCGGGGGGGCTTTTGAAATTTTGAGGGGGGGGGGGGGCGGTCAACATTTTTCGGGGGGGGGGGGGGCGGACACTAGTAAAAGTGTATGTTTACTATATAAAATCCATCTCGTTCGGGGGGCGGTAGAATTTCTTCGGGCGGAGGGGGCACCGCCCACCCCACCCCCCACCCCCGAAGAGATGCCTGGAAGAAACTCTGCGAATAAAGATGTGTATAATAGTGCGGAATATTATTAGTACTTTATAAATTCACATGAGTTTTGTTTTTGAGAAATCGGAAATAGTGACAATTACGACTTACGGTCAACGGAAATTACTCAAAATTTGTCAGAAGGCAGAAAATTCGATCTTTTACTTACATGTGAAATTGTATTTATCTATCTGAAATAGTACTCAAGTTACAGGCTTTTGAAAGATGCAAAGTAGAAAAAGTTCCACTTCCGGTTATTGGAAATCGCTCAAAATTTGTTACTGATCTATGATTTTGATATAATACTTATATATGAAATTTTATCAACCTAGCTGTAACGGTACTCAAGTTATCGTGTTTGCACACACACACACACACACACACACACACACACACACACACACACACACACACACACACACACACACACACATACACACTCACACAGAGACATACGGACAAGATTGCAAAACTATGTTTTTCCGACTCAGGGAGGTGTAAAGCGTCGAGATTTGAAAAAATCTAGATTTTTTTTTGCACGATTACAATACTTTCTCTAGATTCTATACTTCGTATAAGAAAGTAAACAAAACTTGAGATCTAGATAAAGCACGCAAAAACCGCATATTGAACTGTATGACGTCATTGACCAAGAGGATAATAATAAAGTCGGAATTTTTATTCATTTCACAGCCGGTTGATAAGTAAGTCTTTGTTCAAACAATGGTCAGGTTTATACTATGTGGGTAACATTATTTAATCCAGATATCAGGTGTGTTTTCTTATTAGCAGAGGAGTTGCAGTTCGATTTATTGGGACCTTAGATCAATAACCAAAATATATAGACTTATATCTAGATCTAGATTAGTATGTTTTAAATATAGAATCTAGTCTCTAGATCAAGATGTAGATCTAGATTTCTTTCTAGATCTAGTTAGACCAAAATATATAGACTTATATCTAGATCTAGATTAGTATGTTTTAAATATAGAATCTAGACTCTAGATCAAGATGTAGATCTAGATTTCTTTCTAGATCTAGTTAGACCAAAATATATAGACTTATATCTAGATCTAGATTAGTATGTTTTAAATATAGAATCTAGACTCTAGATCAAGATGTAGATCTAGATTTCTTTCTAGATCTAGTTAGACCATTAGGTTCGTGAATTGCTACGTTTATTTCTTTATGATCGTTATGTCTAGATATACAGGCTCCAGAAATACGTATATCTAATAAACTGTTATCCATTCTCTGTTTAGTTAATCACTGGAGGGCTAAATTTAATGAGTTAGTGGCAACCCGTCAAGTTTAGTAATAGAAATAGCCGTCCATAGTATAATTGGTTAATTAGTCAATGTCTCAGTTGGCAGAGAGATGGCAGGTATTTTTTGTTAAAATAGGCCAGAACCGAGACTAGACGTGTTTTTGTACATTTCATCTTCTAATTTATATTCATTATATCAATGAATGAGTCAATACATAAATGAACGAATCAATGAATGAATCAATAAATCAATAAGTCAATCAATGAATCAATGAATCGATCAAGGAGTCACTCAACCAGTGATCCAGTGAATTAGTAATTTTAACGAATGAACAAATCAATCAACCAATTAAAAAAAATACTCCAACAAAACAAACAAAACAAGCTATATATTTGTATATATATATATATATATATATATATATATATATATATATATATATATATATATATATATATATATATATATATATATATATATATATATATATACATAAAATATTAACTCAGTTATACAACCATCATCAGCAGGAAAATGTGGTCGCTATTTGAAACAAGTATGAGGCAGATGGAACAAACCATGCAGGAGAGCTCTAGACACTTGGCGACATCCATGGAGGAGATGAATCGATCTTTGGCGTTAGGCTCGCAGGCTTTAGAGACCTCAATGACAGCCATGGGTGAAAGTCTACAAGCAAGCTCACAGGGGATGGAGGCAGCGCTCTCTACAGCTGAGGTAGTGAGCAATCTGATCACGTTTGTCAATAACGGATCGACCACAAACATCAGCGGACCCACGACCGTCACGGTCATCAACGGCGATGATACTGGCATCTCTGCTGACGTGCTTCCACCCAATGATCGTGTGGATTCCTGCGGTAACATCACCATCATCACCGGTGATGGTGCCAGCATCTCTGCTGACGTGCTTCCACCCTATAATCGTGTGGATTCTGAAAGTAACATCATCAACGACGATGGTGCCAGCATCTCTGCTGACGTGCTTCCACCCAATGATCGTGTGGATTCCTGCGGTAACGGTAACATCATCAACGGCGATGGTGCCAGCATCTCTGCTGACTTGCTTCCACCCAATGTTCGTGTGGATTCCTGCGGTAACATCACCACCGACGATGGTGCCAGCATCTCTGCTGACGTGCTTCCACCCAATGATCGTGTGGATTCCTGCGGTAACATCAACATTTTCACCGGCAAGGGTACCGACATCCCTGCTGACGTTCTTCCACCATATGTTCGTGTGGATTCCTGCGGTAACATTAATTTTAACATCCCCGGGATCTCCACACTTTTTCTAGCGGGGAGCTGCCCTAAATTCGACATCATCAACCACTACGCCGACGGGCTTCTACCTAATGATCGTGTGAGACACTGTGGTAAGATCAATATCATCAACAGCGACGGGAAATCTACCGTTATACAAAGTTGGACAAACAGGTATGTGATCAAGTTGTTTTTTTTAATCTTTGTCTATTCGTTTGATCTCTGTCGAAAAGATAAATACAAAGGTAGCTGATGAAACGTTTGTTATTAACATACAATAGACTATAGACAAAAGTTATGGTATACCTTATTTAAAAAAACAACTATAATATCTCCTAAATACTAATTCTTTTTCAAAATATAATATACGAGCCGATCCGCTATTTAGTGGTTTTATTTTCTACTTTTCAGTAATTCATAATTTGTGAATTCGACAGTACCAATGCTGCCACTGAAAATATTAATTTGCTTTAAAACACTATCCCCCCCCCCTTTCCCTCAACCCCTACCCTTTAACCCCCCCCCCCCCCCCTGAAAGCGGCCTCCTCTTAGTTTCCTCCTCTAAGTTTAAAATCGTTTCAAACTAAATTATCTGCCCCTAATAGCCGTCACTAAACTCGGCTATACAAATGTAAACATTTAGAGTGAACACCGCTCACCAGACCATGTGGGATGGGGGGGGGGGGTGGTAGTGATAGAGAGGAAGAGAGGGGACTGCAAGGCGCAGTTTGCAGCTTGTTTTCTAGCGTCTCCCAGAAGAGAATTATATATTTAGATTAATTTATGTTATATAAGATAAAAAGAAATAAATAGTGTTTACATTAGAAAGGCGAGGCTTGATTAGGCCCACGTCATCACTTAAATCCAGATTCCTTCTCCCTATCGACACAATGTACTACCCCCCCCCCCACCCACACACACACACCTCTCTACAACGCTCTGTCATATTTCTAACTGAAGTACCAGTTGGTTCTCCATGTAAAAACTTTAATGCGTTACATTTATCGACCCCCACCTTGCCACTACAACCTCAAATTCCCTCCCTCTAGCTGTGTAATGCTATTTATGCACGACCCACTAATTTCAGCCGTCAGTGTTAATCTTAATTAAACACTTTAATTTCGACTGTAAAAACGTCTTTTTAAAAAAATTGCTAAGTAATTTGTTGTTTTAAATGGTGATTATGTTAAAATGAAACGAGAATAATACAAATAAAGTCATGCCTGATTATAATGAAAATGTATTTTCACCACCTGCTCGTGCGTGGACAAACACTTCTGATTTGTACTGTTTGTCTTGTTAGCAGAAGTTACCACGATGATTGATGAATTAATAGCGTGGCCGAGTGTTAATTAAATCACAAGAACACTAACTAGAAAATCTCGAGTAAAGTATCCGTAAGCAAGGCAGTAATACGCCCCAGAGCCTACTCAGTTATAAGAGGTACCTGGCTTGAATTGGGTAAAGTATAGGCGACTAATAAAATGATGATAAAATTCTAACCCTATGCTGGTGTCATCCTTCCTGTGAACTAGGCGGTCTGAGAGGGAATTTAAGGTTTAAACCCAACATTTGTCGTCATGTTGTTCATGTTTTATTGTGGTCTCATCAGAAAGGGATGGAAGGGGGGGGGGTGTTGGTGACAACTGTTTATTTTATATTTAACTAGTGTTAATACACGATGCTTTCCCCTTTTAAGAAGTTATATAATACTCAGTGTTTCCGGATTTGATTAATATCTGAACTATTTATACATTGTAAATCAGAATATATTGACATGTAAAGTAGGGACTTTCACTAATTTACCTTTGTACAAAAGGACAGTAGAAAAAACTTTAGTTGGGTCAGCACGAGTTACTTTCCAGACATACATGCCATGTGTCATTTAATGACATATGACATGTCATGTATATATACTTTACCCAGTCGTTTGTAGTTGATTATGAGAGATCTAGCAAATCACGTATAATTATAAAACAATTAAAAAAGAATTTAACTATATTTTAAGTGTCTCGTTTTTTTCTCCACCCCTCCCCCCCCCCCCTTCCATGCAGGTCAGTCCAACAGGACACACAAACTGGAACACGCAAACGACAACACGAAGATGATGAACAAAGTTCAAAGAGGTCGAAGAATGGTTGCCATGACAACCCGGATTCTCCCGAGGAGTGAAAGATACGCACAATAGTGTGTTCAATAGCACACACAAAAAGTTCCTCTTTGTTGGCACACAACTCTCGTGTTATACGGGACACTATTTGATATCTTAATTACATTCAGGTCCTGTTAGTTATAATGAGTTTGCAAAAAATATGTGTTTTATGAAGCTAAAGTCAAGCACAATATACACTCAATAAACAACACTAACTCCCCCACCTACCACCCCATCACACACACAAGATCCGCTAACCATCCGGGACCCACACATAATCTTATACATCACAAAATATGTCCACTTTCAAATACCAAAACAAAATAAACACCTCTGAAACTTACTTTGAAATGATGTTATTTCAATTTGTAAAGACGGAAGTAAATATTTTATTCAAGTCTTGTGGGGATAAAACGTGTAGTTTAAGTTAACTCGAATAATGTATTGAAGTATTACAATTTCAATAACACTACACCAGAGGCGTAGCGAGAGGGAGGGGGGGGGGTGCGGACCGCACCGGGTGACACCATTTAGGGGGGGGGGGGGGGTGACACCAAGGCCAAACATAGATATAGAGAAAAACTTGAGGGGGGCGCAAATCGAAAGTTTGAAAGGGGGGGGGTGCAAATCGAAAACTTGAAGGGGGGTGCAAATCGCTACGCCTCTGAAGGGTGACACCATTAAGTGCCGCACCGGGTGACACCCGACCTCGCTACGCCACTGCACTACACTGGCAGACTATCAATTACTCCTGAAATTAGACGGATGTTAAAATAATACAGTGAATTTTTTTTTTAAATCTATGTTTTTGTGAAGAAGCCCCAGAAAAAAACCATTAAATTTGTAAGAGCAGTTTAAATAACTATTAAAGCATTGACACCAATGCCTTAGAAAAATCATTCGAATACGCTGGCATGAAACCATCAGAAATAAGGTACTATGGCAACGGACAAATCAACTGCCAGTGGAAGTAGAGATCCCCCAGAGACAATTAAAATGGAACTGGATTGGCCACACACTCAGGAAGCCTGAATCCAGCATAACAAGACAGGCCCTTACCTGGAATCCACAGAGCAAAATGAAAAGAGGCCGACAAAGAAAGACCTGGAGACGTGACCTGGAAGAAGATTGGAAACACCTGTGGACAGTTGGAGAGACTAGCCCAGGACAGAGAGGCCTGATACCAAGTAGATTGGGTACACCTGTGGACAGTTGGAGAGACTAGCCCAGGACAGAGAGGCCTGATACCATATAGATTGGGTACACCTGTGGACAGTTGGAGAGACTAGCCCAGGACAGAGAGGTCTGATACCAAGTAGATTACACCTGTGGACAGTTGGAGAGACTAGCCCAGGACAGGATACACCTGGGGACAGTTGGAGAGACTAGCCCAGGACATCTGGGGACAGTTGGAGAGACTAGCCCAGGACAGAGAGGCCTGATACCAAGTAGATTGGGTACACCTGTGGACAGTTGGAGAGACTAGCCCAGGACAGAGAGGCCTGATACCAAGTAGATTGGGTACACCTGTGGACAGTTGGAGAGACTAGCCCAGGACATCTGGGGACAGTTGGAGAGACTAGCCCAGGACATCTGGGGACAGTTGGAGAGACTAGCCCAGGACACCTGGGGACAGTTGGAGAGACTAGCCCAGGACACCTGGAGACAGTTGGAGAGACTAGCCCAGGACATCTGGGGACAGTTGGAGAGACTAGCCCAGGACATCTGGGGACAGTTGGAGAGACTAGCCCAGGACAGAGAGGCCTGATACCAAGAAGATTGGGTACACCTGGGCAGAGGCGTAGCGAGGGGGGGGGGAGGGGGGACATATGTCCCCGGGCGCCTACCTTAGGGGGGAGGGCGCCAAATTGATAGTTTGAGGGAGGGGTGCAAATCGAAAGTTTGTCCCCGGGCGCCGGGAAGGGTCGTTACGCCTCTGCTCTTTGGGAGAGGTGGAGAGACTAGCCCGGGACAGAGATGCCTGGAAAGCTCTTGTCAGCGGCCTATGTCCCAGAAGGGGATTAGTATGAGGTAAAAAATAGATGAACTGTTTATGATAAACAGCTTTGATGAACGCATTTAATTTATATATTTTAAAAGATAAATATTCTACAGATTTATATTATATATATATATATACATTTATATTTTTTAATCATTTGTTATTTATATTTAATATATCTATAAATAGAACTGAGTTTTAAAATATTTGGGTGACCAACTTGAGTAAAATAGCTATTTCCACTTACAACAAGAAATGTGTGCTGTTCTATTCATCTTTAGGCTAAGTATATCACTGTAAATAATCGAGTGTTATATTTTGTATCTATAGAAAATACTTTAATTAAACTGACATACTTTTTCAATCCACGATGTGATTTTATGTAATGTTAATTGCAGTGTGTTATTATATTGAAAGAAAACAATTTTATAAATTTACTTTTAGTGAATAAATAGGATAGTTATTATAAACATTTTTCTACATTCATTATTATTTAGAGCACTTTCAATACCTTTATTAGTATATAAAATAATAAATAAATTAGCTATCTGCTGGTTTTAGATGTTTTAAAAGAATAAATAGAATTGTCAATCGGGAAAATCTGCACCAAACACCACTGTTAATAAACGTGCTGTATTCATAGACTAGGCAGTTGTTTTGTTTAGGTACCATAGATATTTTTACGTCCACTTTTTTTTTTTATTTCGGTATTTTCTGCAGCTGAATTTTATGAAGTAAGTTTTTCAAAGAACATTGTTTTATTAAGGTTAGAGTAATTAATATTTAAGAAGTTAATTATGTTGAATTCGTCCTTGTATTAACTAGTGTTATTTCAGTAAAATTTACTGTCGAGCATTCCACTTTTATCATGGCGTTTGGTTCGTCAGCTTCCTGATTTGTTTATGTATACATCCGTCTAAAGCAAGAACCATACTGTTCATTTATACATCCGACTAAAGCAAGAACCATACTGTTAATTTATACATCCGACTAAAGCAAGTACCATACTGTTCATTTATACATCCGACTAAAGCAAGTACCATACTGTTCATTTATACATCCGACTAAAGCAAGAACCATACTGTTCATTTATACATCCGACTAAAGCAAGTACCATACTGTTCATTTATACATCCGACTAAAGCAAGTACCATACTGTTCATTTATACATCCGACTAAAGCAAGTACCATACTGTTCATTTATACATGACTAAAATACATCCGACTAAAACAAGAACCATATCGTTTATTTACACATCCGACAAAAGCAAAAATATATTAAATATTTACTTCCATTATTATCTCAATATGCACCAAGTAATTATAAAAAAGCTAGTAGAATAGGTCAATTTTAGTTATATTATACCTATAACTGTTGGTCCACACTATATTGACTGTATTCAGTTGTTATTGGCCCAGCCCGTTGTGTCTCAACGTTTTTTTCTGCCTTTACTTAAAAAATTATTTAAAATCATAGCTTAAAAAGTACATACGTTAAGAGCCTGCTTTTCTATTTGCACGTGAGGGAAACTGGAAAAGTGTTTCTACTTTATTTCTAGATCCATATCTGTATTCGACATTATATATATATATCAAAGTACGTCTGTTATAAATGACGCTATGACATATTTCCTCCCCCCTCCCTTTTTCTATCACACTACACTGGCAACTCTAATGTGACGTCAGTGTTATGACTATTAAAAGAGTATGTTTTAATAAATCAGCTATTTTTTTTAATTTCAAAAATATATTTAAAAAATATATATACGTAAGTGTTTATTGGCAGTAATTGTCATTAAATTATACAAATTAATATCAGCATCTGTTATTGCCTTAACTACACGGAACCAATTAACAATATTCTCTTCGTTATTTTATCGAATTTCTTTTAGTTGCCTATATTAGTAATATAAAAAGTTCAACGAAATTGTGCAAAAGCAAAAAAAAAAAACACATAAAATATTGTTTTTTAAGTCTCATAATTTTTTTAAAGCATGCGCCAGATTTTATACATACCCCTTTTTAAAATTTCTGGATCGAAACTGTATTGATCTATTTCTGATACTATATCTGATACTATATCTGATACTATATCTGATACTATATCTGATACTATATCTGATAATATACCTGATACTATATCTGATAATATATCTGATATTATATCTGATACTATATCTGGTACTTTATCTGATACTATATCTAATACTATATCTGATACTCTCTCTTATAATATATCTGATATTATATCTGATAAAATATCTGATACTTTATCTAATACTATATCTGATACTATATCTGATATTATGTCTGATACTATATCTGATACTATATCTGATACTTTATCTGATACTATATCTGATAATATATCTGAAAATATATCTTCTATTATTTCTGATAATATTTCTGATTACATTTTTAATATAATAACGTCCCGCGAACACTTTAAATGGCAACTTTAAAATCTTGTATGTAAATGAATAGCGACTTGGGACGTTATTAAATCATATTTTAATTTACTGTGCGTAAAATAGCAAGACGCGGTGAAAATTTGAAAATCGTTTATCGTATTGTTATTTATTGAATAGGTAGTGTGGTTTTTTTATTCGAAAAGTTAATTCATGCTTTTTTTAAATTCAATAGTTCGGACCTCCTCCCCCCCCCACACACACACACAAGCATACATACATACAAACACACATAAACACACATACACACACATATTTATTTATGTATTTATTTATACAAAGGTAAGGTAAATACTAACTTCAATATGAAAACATAAGTTATTTTCTATTTAAAACATTAGAATTAGATTGATTGCAAAAGTAACTGTTTTTCTACGTTCCTTTATTTCCACAGCTTGTTAAATCTTTTAAAGAAACACTTCTGTTATTTAGACAATTAATCTCTGCAAAAAGTTTAAAACAGCACAATCTGTTGTAAAACCTAAAATATAAAGGTAAATATGAGTCTATATTTAGATTTGTTTCTGCCGTAATTTAGTTTATTTAGATTAGACATCCGATTTTTCTCTATTTTCCTATACTATCTATATCTATCATATCTATTTAAGCACCGGGGTATCTATATAAAACTATATCACGCATAGTCATTAAACTGCTCTATATCGCTGGTTATGTGAATTAATCCAAAATTATTTGCTTTAAAGATAATTCAGGCTTCAATTAAGGCTGCTGAAATTCCAAAGATATTTAAAACAATTGTGAACAAATTCTTGGTGTTTCGTCTCAATATGCGTGTATGTGTGTACATGTATTCGTTCACATGCATGTGTAAGTGTGTACACGCGTACATGTGTAGATGAGGTGCATACGAACATGTTTCCGTACACTTTGAAATGTACATGCATAGTCGAACATTTGATGCATTTAAAATGTACAAAACTAATTGCAGCTACTCTATAGCTGTTGTCATCTTTGGAACGGGAATATGGATAATATTTTTGAAAGGACTATTCAAGATGTAGAAATGTTGATGCATCAAATGAACGTAGATCTCCAAGGAGAATACGAAAATGACGGATACGATGATATGGAAGAGGATGATGGTGATGAGGCCAATAACCCAGCTCCTGGAGATGCAGAGGTCAACACAGACACGCTTGACCAGAACCTTGAAACATTACTTGCAGGTACGTTTAGGTGTGCGCGTGTGCGCATTAGCGTAAGTGTATGTTTTTGTGTACGTGTTTGTGTACGTGTTTGTGTACGTGTTTGTGTACGTGTTTGTGTACGTGTTTGTGTACGTGTTTGTGTACGTGTTTGTGTACGTGTTTGTGTTTGTGTTTGTGTTTGTGTACGTGTACGTGTACGTGTACGTGTACGTGTACGTGTACGTGTACGTGTACGTGTACGTGTACGTGTACGTGTACGTGTGAATATGCGGTTGAGTATAAGCGTACTTGTAATCTAAACATAACAATATAAATTTCAAATGGTTTTTAAAAATATTTACAGCTACACGTGCCCTAATAACATCTATGGACCAACGTTTGACCGCCTTAGAGAACTCGATGAATTCTACAACAACGGCACAGCCATCTCTCAACAGAACTGACGGTAACTTGCAGGCAACTGAAACTGCCGTCAACACTCAAACTCTGCCAAGAACTACTAGAGTGTACTCACAATACAACACCCAACGCATCCAGTATGTCCACGTTGCCCGCCACAGCTTTCCGTTTGATTTGTTAACAGCCGTTAGTATTGGATCGGGAATAACTTATTTGTTTCTGATGTGTGTTTTATTTATATTTTTTTTGGATGCATCTAATTTCTAAACCATGATTCAACTAGCTAGTACCAAAACAAAACAAGCTGCCCAACTTGTCTAGCACGCTAGCCAGATATTTACCTCGTTATCTCGTTTGGTCTCCCGTCACCATTGGCGAGGTCACCTGGACATGGGTGTTCTCTTACCACGTGACTAGAAGATGACATGACATACAGGTCCGCTAATTGGACGATTGTGTGTCATCACATACAGGTCAACTAATCGGGCGAGTGTATGTTATAACATACAGGTCAATATTGGACGACAGTATGTCATCACATACAGGTCAATATTGGACGATAGTATGTCATCACATACAGGTCAATATTGGACGATAGTATGTCATCACATACAGGTCAATATTGGACGATAGTATGTCATCACATACAGGTCAATATTGGACGATAGTATGGCATCACATACAGGTCAATATTGGACGATAGTATGTCATCACATACAGGTCAATATTGGACGATAGTATGTCATCACATACAGGTCAATATTGGACGATAGTATATCATCACATACAGGTAACTGATTGGACGGTTGTATGTTATATGTCTTGTGTAAGCCAACGAGAACGTATGGGCATGTCTTGACTACGCAAAAATAAAGAAGAAAAAAATGGATCAGTTTTCTGCTCTTCATAAACTTTATGTTTTTATTGTAATTTTTTTCTTTCTGTTTCCAAACTATCAAGATATTATTTTAATATTTTAAGTTTTTGTTAAATGAATTAGAACTCAGGTTAATCAACTCAATATGGTGTAGTATAATTTGGTTGTATCAGAGGGGGCGTGAAGGGGGGGGGGGGGGAGACACATCCCGGCACATAAGGTGGGCAGAATTTAGGAAGTCGATAGTTATAATATGGAAAAAAATTTCTGTATGAAACATTTGTTTTGGATCTCGTGATAAATAAAACGTTTGTAAATTTTAATTGGATAGCATATTGTCATTAACGAATTTAAATAACACTATATTAGGTGGACTATCAAATCTGTCCTATAAATCTTTTAATCTGAAGGATGTAAAAACACAATAGTTTTTTGAGACAAAGGAAAATGCCAAGGAATTTAAGAACAGCTAAGTACGTATGAGCTGTAAAATAAATAGTTTAATCTTTACGAAATGGAACATTGGGGGAAATGGACACAGATGGACCTTAGGGAAATGGACACAGGTGGACCTTGGCGAAATGGACATAGATGGACCTTGGGGAAATGGACACAGATGGACCTTGGGAAAATGGACACAGATGGACCTTGGGAAAATGGACACAGATGGACCTTGGGGAAATGGACACAGGTGGACCTTGGGAAAATGGACACAGATGGACCTTGGGAAAATGGACACAAATGGACCTTGGGGAAATGGACACAGATACAAAAATTGCTTGTTGTTTTCAAAAAGTTGTATCTTCCATACATTTTACATCGTGCAAGACTTCTTTGCGGAAGTAAATTTTGCCTCATGCTGTGTTTGGTCATACATAGGTGAGGTCATCTTTATATCTGCCGGACCGCTGCAGGACAACATGTATTATGCTGACCAGCAGAGAACATTATTTAACAAAACGTTATTCTATTAAACACGAAACATTGGGGATGTAAAAATAAAAGCTTTTAAACCAGGAAAAAAATAATCATTCACAAATTTCTTAAAATATTGCATATTTAAGACGGGTATTATCAAACATTATAAAAATGTTAATATGGCACCAGTATAGGAGATAAGGCTCTCGTATGACATTGATAGAAATTTTAAAATGTATTTTTTTTAAATGTATGTTTGAGAAATTAAAAAAGATGACTGAAAGAAAACTAACTTCTATTTAAGAAATGTATCTGTTAGCTACATAAGACAGTGTGTTAGTCGTTTCGTACCGAGGTCAATTTTTTAGTGGGTCTTGACCACGGTGTTTCAGAAATAAGCATTTGACTCTTTTTTTTTCTTTTAGTTTATCGTTTGTGTTTTTATAAAGTTTATTTATACTATGATTAATATTTAAAAACAAGACTTCAAGGAGAATTAACTTGACCTATCGTGGCTTAAGCCAAGAGAACATGATCGGTGGAGGTTGCACTTTGCAACACAACCTTAGTGAGCTTCATTAAACTTTGATGCATTAACTTCTATAAAAGTATAAATTGGAATGGTACTCCTAGTGGATTCATTAAACTATGGTGGATCTACTTAGATAAAAGTAAGAATTGGGATGGCACTTCCAATGGATTCATTTAAACACAAAGCTGACTTGTTCTTAACGAGAGTAATACAAAATTCTCAAATCGTTAAGATTTTTTGACATATCAGTAAAGGATAAACATAAATCTAAGGGAGGCGAGCGAGTTGACGAGATTCCTTCTATAATGTTGTTGACATGGAGTAAAAACGTGCTTTTTAGATTTAGACCGTAAAAAAAAATAAAAAAATAAAACTTAAGCCTAAAATTAATTTAGAAATTTTATATTTTTAGAATAAATGCTATAAAAGTTGCAAATCCAGAGAACTTGAAAATAATTTGTTGAGTTTAAGGCTACATTTCTATTTATTTTCATCAAGCCTAAGTTATAACCGGATGTTTCACTTTCGTAAGACAAATATTGATTGGTTGTAAAGTAACTTAGTGATCGATAACTATTTGTTTACAAAACTTTGCAGATCAAGTTTTTAAATAACAATGCAAATTAAAACCCCATGACCTAGTTTTCTATTTTTAGCTTACAATGTATACAATACAATTTATGCCGGCCTATCCAATAGCAGGATGCCATTGTTTATGTCGCCATTACACGTGAAAACCAAATTGTTTTTGTTTTTTTTTAAATTTTATTTAGTTACCGAAAATATTAAAAACATCAAATACGTCCAATCTTTAGTAAAGTCCAAAAATAACCAGAAAGACAGGATTTTATAACCATATTAATTGTAACTACGCCGTGCAAGATTTTTAAATTAATTTATGCACCTCTCAAATACCTTTGAGACTTTTCTCGCTCGTGTCCATTGGTTTGTTGTGGGTTTTTTGGCGTTTCTGTTTTTATTTATTTGCCGAATTTTTTTTTCAAAATAAAACAAAAACAATCCAAATAAATAAAAAAATTAAAATAGCTTTATCAGTTTTTCATGACCAAATGTAAATAACACTACTTTAAATGTTGTTGATATGTTAGAATTCGCTTTCGAGGCACAGCTGATTTCCTGCCTTCATTGAACAGGGTTTTACGAGTTTTCATGCCACAATATATATATATATATATATATATATATATATATATATATATATATATATCGTTTATAAAAACAAGTTTTATTTATGCATTACAGATAGACAATGTATTGAATTTTATGAATATAATTTTTAAATTTTAAAATAACTCTAAACCAGTGGCGTAGCGAGGTCGGGTGTCACCCGGTGCGGCGCTTAATGGTGTCACCCCCCAGAGGCGTAACGACCCTTCCCGGGGACAAATTTTCGATTTGCACCCCCCCCCCCATCAAGTTTTCGATTTGCACTCCCCCTCAAACTTTCGATTTGCACCCCCCCCCCCTCAAGTTTTCGATTTGCACCCCCCCCCCCTCAAGTTTTCGTTTTGCACCCCCCTCAAGTTTTTCTCTATATATTTTACTAGTTTTTGCCTTGGTGTCACCCCCCTAAATGGTGTCACCCGGTGCGGTCCGCACCCCCCGCCCCCCCCCCCCCTCGCTACGCCCCTGCTCTAAACAAAAGAGTTTCTTATTTTTAATCAACTTAAAAAAATCAACTTAAAAAAATTACCTTCTTAAGTATTTAATCGTCCATTTAAATATTGTCTAAGTACAGTGTTCTGTTTTGTAGGCCTAATCGGTTGTTGTTTTTACGCTTAAATATACCTAAAACTGTTCAAATATTTTTGTAATTTACACTGTACTTCATTGTTACGTAAATAGACCTACTGGTGCAATACTAAATTTGAAGAAAATAATTGTATATGTTTATTTTTAGTGAATATAATAAGGTATAAATTTGAGTCGTGTTATTGAAAAGTTAACACAAATGTTAGTTTTCTGCCTTGAGTGTTAGGATGAAAAAGAACTTGTGATCGGGAAAACCGCACCAAAGATGGGGGTGAACACGATGACGTGATTGACCATTGTTTGTTTGGGTAATCGAGAATATTTAAAGTCTGGGTTTTCTGCCTTCGAGTCTATTTCCTACATTAAAGTAGGTCTAGGTGTTGTTTTTTTTTTAGTATAGGCCTAGTCACATTGATTTGCTTTTTAATTCCTCAGTGGGATGGTTCTGTTAGTTTGATCAGTATTCCACTTATATCAAGGCATTTGATTTGTCAACTTCCGGGTTTGATTGTTTACAGTTGACTGAAGTTTGAATCACGTAATACAATTTCATCCATTATAATTACCGAGAGCTTCTGGGGGCTAAAAAATTGTATAGTAGGCTCTCGATGTTACTAATCATAACTGCTTCCCGTATGTTCAATGAATAAGCCTTGTCTGCTTAGAAGGGTGTATTTTTGTTTCATTTTATCTTCTACCTTACTCTGTAAAAACTATACAAATGAAAGGTTGTTTAGGAATTAATGTTTATGAATTTTTAATGGAGATTTTTAAATATTATTTTCAACTTGATGGCTAAATTTCTAACAAATCCGACAATTTAATGTTGGTGGTCTTCGGTGATTAACGTTATTCTATCTAAAGATTCAGTCCATCCCAAAATACAGTACATTCAAGCTTTTTTTTGATTGGCCAATTTTATTTTTCTATTTTGAATCTGCTTGTAGTAGTATATAGTAAGTATTGTAATCCTGCAAAAAAATCAAGTCATACCTTCCTGAGTGGTAGAAAAACAGTTGTGTGACCATTCTTTCTCTCTGTCTCTCTATATCTCTCTCACTTTCTCTCTCTCTCTCTCTCTCTCTATCTGTGGTGTGTGTGGGGGAGGGGGGATTCAAAAGGTTTTGTCACCATACATACGATTTATGCTTTGTAATCAGTTATTTTTTTCGATTGTTTCATTTTTTTCAATTTTTATCATGTCTATGAGCATAGTCGTGTCAATTTATGAGTATCGTCCTTGGGATGCTACATAAGGTGCCAATAAACCTCCATTCATGAAGTTGTGTAAAAATAAAAATTTTGGTAAATTTAGTCTGTTGTGTTTTTTCTGAAATGTCTGAAGAATGTCCACTCTAAGACACACATCTTAATCATCAGAGTAAATTTTCTGGTCAGTACACATAAAAATCAATCATTTAAATCCATTTAAAAGGTAAAACAATGTTTCGACTGCGAGTTGCTAAAGCACCAATAACTTTGTTTTTAACTGGTAAACATATATATATATATATATATATATATATATATATATATATATATATATATATATATATATATATATATATATATATATTCACTATGAATGTATATATTCAATATGAATGTATATATACAGAAATATATACATATATATATTATATATTATATTATATATATACGTATATATATATCCATAATATTATATATATATATATATATATATATATATATATATATATATATATATACATATATGTATATATTTATGTATATATACATATATATATATA